GTATTTTGGCCGAAGAGTCCACCACCGGTGTTCTGTCCGAACAAGCCACCTCATTCGAGCACTTCGAATTTATTTTATTTGACTGCAGTCTTGCATCCATTTTAACTTGAAGTGTTCAACTCGATGCGCCTCCGGTGTTCGGCTGCCCAAACAAACCACCGCCAGAAGAAGCACCGAAGGGGCTTGTCGTCCCACCACCGAGGCCACCGGCAGCCGGAGCACCTACGAGCCAAGTTGCATGAATTTGCACATTGTGCAGACTGTGCAGCTGCTGCTGCTTCATTTTTGCCCCTTCTGCCTTGGCCAGCTTGAAGGCGATTAGCCTGGTAGTCTTCCATGCGCAGCCTTAACCGAGGCAACTGAGGCAAGTGGTCAAATGACACTGACCGTGCGGGGCAAACAACACATGCTCTCAAAACTGGGGATGCAACTCCTCAAACGATTTGTTTTTGTAGCAGTCCATGACACCGATATGTGCATACTTGAGCTTCGTTTCCTGGTCGATTATCTCCTGCATCTTCGTCGTAGTGCCAGATACTGCACCTCCAAATCCACCACCTCCACCGAAGAGGCCACCTTGAGGCTGGGCAGGCTGTCCAAACAAGCCTCCGCCGCCGGTGTTCTGGCCAAACATGCCACCACCGGAGCTCTGTCCGAACATGCCTCCAGCCTGCGGCTGACCAAACATGCCCCCACCTGAAGATTGCCCAAAGCCACCTCCGAAGAGTCCCCCTCCTGAAGAGGGCTGGCCAAAGAGACCACCTCCGCTGCTTTGCTGACCAAAGAGGCCACCTCCCTGCGACTGGCCAAAGCCAAAGCCACCGCCAGTGTTGCCGAAAAGGCCGCCGGAGTTTGGCTGCTGACCAAAAAGTCCTCCACCAGAGTTCTGGCCGAAGGGGCTTCCTCCAGGGGCGGCACCACCACCGAACAATCCACCGCCAGCTGCTCCGGTGTTCTGGCCAAACATCCCTCCTCCAGCTGCTCCGGTGTTCTGCCCGAAGAGGCCGCCGCCAGTGTTTTGGCCGAACATGCCACCGCCAGTGTTCGCGCCTGGGCTCTGCAGGAGGCCAAACAAACCCGAGAACATGTGGCGGTGCTGTGAGAAAAAACAACAAAACGTCTTCCAGCGCCGGAACACCAAAGAGGCCGCCGCCCGTGTTGGCCCCAAAGCCACCAAATCCACCTTGTGGTTGTCCGAACATGGCCTGGGAGCACTTGACAGCTAGCACTGCAAGTCACAGCTCAGCCTGGTACCCTCAGTTCCTGCCCTTTGACGGGTCTCTCAAACGAACTTGCGGAAACACCCTGCTCAGCACACGGCTTGAACGCCAGAGATGGCACCAGATCGGATGTCACAACGATGGGAGTCGTCTGTAGCTTGCGGGGTTATATAGGGTGGCGTCGGAGGTGAATATGTGGGTTCGGGTGGTTCGTGGCTGCTTCGGGCCTGGTGCCCTACATCGCTGGATGCCAAGTAATTGCGCACTGAAGTTTTGCAAAAGTCTGAAGAGAACAATAGAAAGCCGACCTTTGAGACTTGATTCTGGGCTGCGCAGGCTCACGCAACGTCCCCAGTCTCTCACGCCAAACAGCTGTTAAACTTCTGCAGTACTACGTTTTGAGATATTGCGTATGATCACTTCCTCATTTCTCTAGGGCAAGTGCCTGACCAGACAAGTCGAGGCCTCTAAAAAGCAGCGCTCCATCAACCTGCAATGCCCATTCGAGTCCACGAGGCACCAGGAACGGGATAAAATCGGATAAAAGCTTGCCTCGAAGCCGAGCTGCGCCAGCGCTCCCACGAATTGAGCCTGTGTGACGACCTCAGCGTCCACTGCTGCAACTGCAGGCTTCAAATTTCACTGTTGACGTAAGATTAGGCCGCCACCCCGACACTCTCAGAGTCAATCCGGCGCCACGTTTCCTCAAGGCCTGGAATCCCGAGAACGCAGACTGCAAAGCGTAACGCACAGCGCATGCAGACGCATCTCGGCCAACGAGATCTCAGAACATGGCTCAGCTTCTCTGCAGCTGCCGCCTCCAAAAGCAAATCCAGCTATTCCAGCAAATTCACCGGTCACCGGCACAGGGGGACACCCGAAGTGACGCTGTGCCTGTAGCATGCTTTGATGCTTTTTTTGCCGCAGGCGCGCACTCCCCAGCATCTTGACAGACCATCCTGCACGAGCTCTCCTCTGCCTTAAATGCCTTAAGCATCCTTATGGCCCCAGCCCAGAGGAACAAAGCGCAAACTGACAGAGAAGCGGCTTCTGTGCTGAGGTTCGGCTCACACAAAAGCCACGTTGGCTCTGCAGGGGTCACCACAAGTCCCCCCAAAGTGACACTCATGGCAATGCGGCAATGCGGCATTGCGGCATTGCGGCTTCAAGATTCTTCAAGCACACCTTACTCTAACCAACATGTGCAGAGCTGCTGCGTACTTCAGAATCCCAGATGCCGCTTCTGCTTGCCGACCGAATCAGACTGCAAGGCAATCGAAATGTTCCGTCTAGCTGTCTAGCTACGGGGTTGCCAGCAAACAGTCCCGAATACCGAGCACTGCCGGCAAAATGTCAGAGAACACCCACAAATGGACCAGAAACAGTAGCAAGAAAAGCAGTGGAAATAGCGAGTGTAAGCCAAAATGACTGGCATGCCTCTGCTTCATAACCTGGCACAGCTGACACTTGAGATCATCAGCTTCGCGGTGCTTGTGATCCAAGAGGCTTTGCTTCACGTTCAGCTGCAGCTGCTGCAATTTCACCTGATGGGATCGCAAACTGAACCCACGCCATAAGAAGCACGATCATTAGGTTCATTTGCACCTTCTTTTGTTCTGCCAGCCTTCTCCTCAATCTTGCCATGCTGGTCTCGGAGCGTACTTACCACCATCTGAAGCTCGGAAGCTTCCTTATCCTTCAACTTAACGAGTCGGCGCATCTGCTCCAGTTGCAGCTTCAGATCCTCAGTAGCGCTGGAGCACAAACTGAAATTCAAGTGCCGCAGGCCCGGCGCAAAGCATACAAGGCCTGGTGACGACTAGCAGACTAGCAGTTGGGGCATGACATGGAATCGGCACCCTGTGCACCATGCAGATTGCACGCAGACGGCGATGTACACACAGAAACACGAGCGAACACGAGCGAACAGGAGCAAACAGGAGCGCACACGAGCGAACACGAGCGAACACGAGCGAACACGAGCGAACACGAGCCAACACAAGCGAACGACAGCGGGAGAGCAGAGCACGTATCATGGCAGCGCCACTCGACCTTTGCATCAGACCTTTGCGTCACAAGGCCCAGGGTAACCAAACCTTGCAACTCCTTGATGATAATCGTATCGAGGACATGTCCACACGACCAGACTAGGAGTTTTAGGATGAGGGAGGTGCTAACGGCAACCTCTCGCTCCATCGTACCAGACTCTGTTACCCTGACAGTGAGTTGAGTTGAGTTAAGACTATGGGCATGACAATGTGAGCCAAGGCATACGAAAGAGTTTTGATGACTCTGTGACTCAGGACACATGCACCTCGTCTCAGGCAGTCATGGCGGCTGAGGCACCTGGTAAAGTCGAAGTTGCCGAGACAAGCAGTGGGCGTCATGAGTTTGGCGTTCGTCGTAGCGGCCAGTCCAGTAGCAGCCCGGGTTCATGCAGTGCACGTGGAGCTCATTCAACAAGGAGCTTACAAGAAGACTGGGCCTGGGCTGACCACTGCTTTGCATCAGCAGAAGTTGATCTCGTGCAAACTACAGGCAAATCTTCAGCTGGGAAGCTGCAGTTGCTTTCCGAACGGTGCACGGCAGGTGGGACACTGCGAAGCCTCGCGGAGTTTCACCCAGGTTTTTGGTTACGACTGAGACTAGGAGTAGGTACTGAATGTAAGGTGTTGAACGCTCAAGTCGTCGACAGCACGCCAAGCGGTGAGCAAGTACATGCTTCACTCTTGCTGCACGCAACACTGAAAGGAATCACATCGTCCAATCATGGCCTCACTCACTGCGAGCGCCTTCTCAATGCAGCGCCGGCAGAACACCTGACCACTCCAAGTGCAGGCTCTGAGCTGAAACGCAAGTTGGACTATCAGGGTATGCACATGGGCCGCCCTGACCCACTCAGATGCTTGCCTGTTGGCAGGTGCTACAAGCGACAGGCCGTAAAAACCTGAGCTCGGCATTTCCAGGTTTCCAGCACATTCCACAGGAGCAGAGACAAGACGAACTGGACACCTCGCTGAGGGTTCCAAATTTTCTCTCGAGCTACACGTCGGTGCAAATTGGACAGCGCAGGATGGGCGAAACAGAAGCAGGGTGGACGAGCTCATCATCAGCAAGGCCCATCCTAGATTGAGCCTCAAACACCTGCTTTTGTTTGCACTCGTGTGGTCAGACTACGGCTCTGATCCAGAAAAAGTTGCTGACTACATTAGAAAAGCTTGCCCGTCATGGAGGACTGTCTGGTATACCAAGGCCTAGAAACTTTGACCCACATGCCACATGTTGGTATCTCCCAAGCCCCCTGGTTAGCCAAGAGCATGGCAAATTCGGCAGGAACAAGCTGACGCAACAGCTTGAAGAATGCGTGGTGGCTGAATTTGTCAGCAGGAACTTGCAGGCATCTCCCTAAGCGGGCCTGTGCGAATCTAACCAAGTTTGCGGACTCCTTCAAACTGGCTGAGTCTTTGCACTTCGATGCCACAACGGCCAGCAGTCCTCAGGAGCCAAATCTTCCAAGACCAAGAAGTCCTCAGTGTTACAAACGGCACATCAGGTGCGTAAGTTATGGAGAAGACGTGTCCTTGGGCTGACAAGGACCTGTTTGGCTTTCCGCGAAGCCATGCCAGAAGTCCTCGAGCACATGACGCTGTGCTTGTATGACTCTGTATGGCGCTGTTGGATGAAACGACAGCAAAAAGGTCCTTGGCATCAATTCTGTGGAAGTGACATACACGCTCGATCTCTTCCCGGGCTACCTTCCGAAGCTACACAGCGTTGGCCTACCTGGCAAATTGATACAAGTTGCTGACGCTCTGGGATGCTCTGAGTGTGCCTTCCCGGTGTGTCGATGGTCGATGTCAAGGATCCAGGCACGCAGCACGCTTCCCCATCGCTGTCTCAATATGTGAGCCAAGAAGTCTTTGCCTCCAGGCACAACGACATTCCTCGCAATCCTCGGACCTAGCCTTTTTGTGTCAGATTTGTGGCATTGCACGACAGCCGACTATGCGAAATTGATACGCTCGGCCTCGGCTTCGGGATGGGCATGGCTGGTCCTTCCGAAGCCGCAGCACAAAAAAGCTACAAAAAGAATCGGGAAACATCCGGCGAGACGAACACAAGCAACAAAAATGTGTCTTTTCTGTGCTACTGTATGAAGCACGGGCTCCGTCAGAAAACCAGATTAGGACAGTTGCTGTGGCGAAGCTTGACCAAGAATCTGTTCACATGCGCAGCAACGGCGAGCGACTGCCGCACCTTTAAAAGAATACAAAGGAACTAGAAGCATCTGCAGACGTATGCAGACGTCACGTTCCCGGACGGATGCACTTCTGCATCCCTGGTAGTGGCATCGACTCACCATTAGAGCAGCCAAAGCATCAAAACTGGCAATCTCAAGAACTCAGTGAGTGACTCTGGACTGGAAAACCTGCGGCCAACATGGCCGGCACTGTTCGATGTTTCGCTGTTTCACTCACTTTTGAGTCTTCAAGGAGTTCAGTTCAGCCTTGAGCTGCTCGATCTCTCTCTGCTGGTTGTCGAGCTGTCGCTCATCCTGACGCTGCTGGTTCTCCAGCATGCGGTCGGCCGTGCTGGGCCCGCGGTTTCCATACATGGCATTGTTGATGGCACCACCGACCACGCTCCCGACGATGACGTCACCCACTGTTGGAGGAGGTGCAACCACCACCGGGGCCATTCCAAAGCCAATCGACGGCGCAGCCATCACAGGCGGCGGAGCGACGACCGTGGTTCTGTTGATGACGGTGGTGTTGCTGCTGCTGGCAGCCGCTGGTGCTCGAGGAGGTGCGCGCGGCGGCGCACGCCGTGCAGAGCTTGCTGAGCCGCCAATGCGTCCCCCAGATCGGGCAGCCTTTGCCTCTTCAACCGGAAGCACGGTGAGCGCGACTGCGGCAAGTACTGCAAGCAGAGCACTGCCAATGCGCATGGGCGAGGTTTGCTCCAACTCCTCCATAGCCTGGGGGCCCCCCACCTCATGGTGGCTACGTTTGGCTCGAAGGGCCGTGCTCTCGGCCGCACTGTGAGTCGGCAGCGGGCCAACAAAGGCAAGCGTTGCGCAGCCCGCAGCAAGCAGTGACAATGCCACGAAACGGGCCATGATGTGAGAGGAAGTCAACGCTTGTACTCGGTGGAACTCGATCCAAAACGGCTGAGCGTCAAAAAGTTCACCTGCTTCACAAAGCGGAACGTACTGCCAACTCCACAAACGCCCACCAACTCGCAGATACTCGCAGGTGGGGAGCAAATCTCAACGCAGAAGGCCTGGACGTCCAAAGTCAAGCCCTCATCTTCCATCCTCGGCTGCAGCTTTCGAAGTGCTGCCGTGCTGCCGTGCTGCTCCCTGTCTTCTCGCGCACAAAGTGGAGTGAGGCGGTGGGGAGTACCACTAGTGGGAAAACCAACCTGACATGCCATGAGTTGCTAAGCACAGCTGCCTAATGGCGCGGCTTTTGTGTCCACAGAATAGCGGAAGAGATGGATACGAGAGGGAGCGGGGCCATGTTGCACGCGCCTCATTGTCTGCACAGAGCTCTAGTTGCACGCGTACGTGCCACGCGATGCAGCATACAGCTGCGCGAATAGCTCGTGCCGAGAATCCTACTTTTGCAAACCGAGAGTCCAGCACCTCCCTCACCAACAGCCATGACCCGCCGATAAGATCAAGTAAGCAAAAACCAGCACGGCATGAAAAGCCCAAGAAGATAAAGAAGTGCAGTCCCGTGCAGTCCCGGCCTCTGCCTACCAGACCACCAGTCATCGCACGGAACCCAGCGTGGCAACTGCTGTCTGTTGACTGGTGCTGTCGTCTGGCGCCGTACGCACTTGTAGCTGGCAAAGCCGTGAAAAACAGAGACTTGCTGGACAAGCCTTCGAATTGGGAACGAGCTAGAGAGCTCGCGAAGCCAAGCGGAAGCACTGCCAAACCAGCTACGCAGCCACACTTTGTCCATATACATAAGCGATTTATTGGAGTGAGATGGTACAATGTCTCGACTAGGGATTGCGTATGAACTGTTGCGAATGTCTGTTGCGAAGGGTACAGGCAACTCAAGATTTTGAAGCATGTCCCCTGTTGCTCTTATTCACTCTGAACCCCTAGACCTGATTGAACCCCGACTCTGACTGAACCCAAAACCCTTATCAACAAGCCCCCCCCCCCCAGCACGTGCCCTTAACCTCAATTGACTCAACGTCCTAAACCAGTGTCTCTAAACCTTCCCCCCTGAACACGAAACAGTACATATACACATATGGAAACCCCGCCCCTGGCAGCGACCTCCCTCTTTTGATCCTTGTGCTCTGTCTTCGGTCACGCAGCGGCACTGCAGAAACCAGCGAGAAAAGGGCGGGTCACTGGGGAAGGGGGGCAGCATATGCTATACACATACATATACATATACATATACATATACATATACATATACATATACATATACATATACATAAACATAGATATACACAGACATATACAGAAACATGCACATATACATATACATGTACATATACATATACGTACATATACATATGCATATACATGCACATATACATATACGTATACGTATACATATACATATACATATACATATACATAGACATACATAGACATACATAGACATACATATACGCATATACATATACATATATTACATACAGGCATGCATACTTACCTGCATATACAACTACGGTATAAGTGCACATTCGTACTTGTATACATTTTGACACATATACATCTACATTTTATACTTACAGGCATGCATCCTTGCTTGCATTTTCGACTACAGTTTTCGTGCACATTCGTACTTGTATACATATACACAAAAACACAAAAACACATAAACACATAAACACATAAACACATATACACATATACACATATACACATATACACATATACACAAACGCATATACACATTTACTGTACATATACACATATGCACATATACACATATACACATATACACATATACACATATATACAAAAACACATATATCCAAAAAAAAATGTTGTTGCCAACTTCACATTCACGCTTCCCAAAAAAGGGGTACCCTTTTGCGAGGTTCCTTGAAGGGGATTCTATTCTATTTAGGGGTAGACAAGGGGCTCCTCTATTTTGGGAAATATCCCATATATAGCTAGTCCTGTAACAGGGGTGTGTGCGTGCAGAGACAAGACTAAAGGACCTGTTCTGACAATGGCCTTCACCAAGTCTAAGTACTTTAAAGCTAAAGCATCTTTGCTGCATTTCAAGCGCAACTGCTATTCGCAGGCGCAAGGCACACCTGCTACCAGGGTTGGCACACGTGAAACACTGCTTGAGCCAGCCTTGTCGGTGGAAACACTTGCCTGTCCTGCAGCCGCTCCTTGGGCGACGGTCTCAGGACAACTTGACAGGCCCGTTAGCCTACGTTCCAGGGCCAACGCTCCTGGAGCGGCACCACAATTTGGAAAACGCATTTTTCATAGCCACTTCTGAACTGCGGGTCTTCCCACTCTGCTCCAGGAAGCCTGCATAAACTCGCTCAAACCACTGCAGTACTCTTGTGGCATTGTGCAACACATGGCGGCAAGGAAACCGCCGTGCAAGACAGACTCTGCCACTTTTAGCACAGCAGTGGACTTCGGGGCAAATTGCTGCCATCACATCATCTCCACCTGAATCACTGCTATCGAAGCATCATTAGTTTTAGAAAGCGTGATGTGTCTCCAGCATGATGTGTCTCCAGCATGCACTCCAGCATGCACTCCAGCATGCACTCCAGCGTGCACTGCAGCATGCACTGCAGCATGCAGCAGCTGCTGAGATCTGTGCGAGGCTTCCCTTGGCCAAGCATAGCCTGGCCTCGCCTGTCAAGGTTGACAACTTAGCATCATGTCGCTCCAGCTGCCTCACTGCAATTGCAAGCAAAGGCAGGAAAGCCTGCGCTGATGCTGCTGGCTGTGGCTTGTCTGTGAAGAAGCCGAAAACCTCAGGCTTGCGCAACAAAACTACCAAAAAGCACCCACAAAGTCGTCAGCACTCCTCATCAGGACGTCGAGGGGCAGAGGTTTTCACGTTGTCAAAGAAGTCGTACAACGCCTGACCTCCATCATACCCGCTGTCGGTGTTGTCCAAGTAACTTGGCAAGACGGCGCACATGCAGCTGCGCACATCATATGTATGTCTTGCATGTGCGACCATGTCTGTTCATTCAAGATATTCAAGCACCCAGGTGGGCGGCTCGAGGGTGTTGGCACCGGTTGAGGCCAAGGTGTTGATCCAAATAGGAAGTCTAGCAACACCTGCGCACAGCAACAGCTGAGTTGGCAGAACTTGGTCAGGCGTGCCAGGTCTGCGGCCGTTACGTTTGTTTCGTTGCTCCATGCCACGTGAAAACTGCGCAGCTCGAAACTACCTCTATGGGTGAGCCAGCACGAAAATTGAAAGATACTACCGCAACGCCTCGAGCAGGGATTGCAGATAGGCACAGTACCCTGATTGGAGGGGCTTCTCTACCCTGCGCTGATGTGGCTTAAAACCGGTGTGCCACATTGCTATGCATGGTGGCGAGGGTGAGTTGTGCCTCTGCACACCCACAGGAGGGATCCGCTTACAAAAAACTTGACAACGCATGCGAAGCCGCCGATGCTCTGTTGGCGTTGGCAAAGCTTTCGCAGAAGCTCAACTTCTGAAGAAGAGCCTCAGACTGCTTGCCAAAATTTCAGAAGACTGGAACGACTCAGTTTACTGTGAGTCCTGGCCTGTAGACAGCAGTAGCCCTAAGAACACATTGCTTTGACCCAGTGTCGTCCAGCTCAAATTAAGGTTGCCAAGTCTAAGCCATCAAGTTTGCTCTGACTGGATGGCCCCATGTCCACTCCGGCGCAAGATCCTTCGGCAAAAACGATAAAACCCGTCGAATGCAGATCTGAAGCTCAGAAAACGATCTTGTACAAACAGATGCTCTGGAACGCGGAAGCCTCAGCCTCAGCCTCACAACTTGCGCCCGAAAGCCGACGGCAGTCGGCTTGGTCCGGTACGGTAGGCCTACGCCTACGCAGGGCCTCGAAGCCCCGCCCTCAGCCAAACACAACACGTGCAAGTTACCCCTCCCCCAGCCATGCTGGTTCCAGAGCTTACGTGGGTTCAAAGTCTGCGTCCGTCATGAATCTGATGCTTGATCTGTTTTGGGAATGCGCGGAAGGAAAACCGAACTAGCTGATCACAAACTGGTCGGAGGGTCCTCATCCACTCGTCATTTGGAAGGGCCCTGCCAGACCCAAGTTGGGCAAACGCCCATCCTTCCACAGCGCACATCCATGAAGATCCGCGCTTCTCCCCTTTCCGTAGGCTTCAGCTTAAAGTCTACTTCTCTCAACCCAGCATGCCACCTCTGTCTTCGCAAGCTTCCTCCAGGGCTGCGCGCCCTCGCTGGCGTCGTATTCCTCTCAGATCATGAATTGGAAGGCTCGACTGCCCCGAGATCCAGCCTGGCATTTATGCAGGATTGTCCTGGTAAATCCATCGTCTCACCAATGAATACAAAGGGGTGGCATTCCCCTCCTTGCAGGGTCAACAACGAGAGTGCTGCTACAAGAATCCCTCAGAATGACGAAAGGTTGCGGGGCTTGGGAGTGTGGGTGCAGGGAGATCGTGGGGCTTGCGACACTTTCGAGGCTCTTGTCCGGTTCTTCAAGCGGACGACGTAGGGAGAGGATTGGACAAAACACGTTAGCGGATTTCATGGTGCACGTAATCTGGGCCAACGTGTTCACTACGCCACTACACATGTTCTGGAGCTAGCTTTGATCTCCTTGCAGAGGTCGTGGTACTCTGAGACATCATCCATCGGACAGAACTTCACCACCTCACAACGACTTCGCTCCACGATGCAAGACGACGCAATGCGATGCACTGCGATGGGCTGCAGATGCTCCGACGGCCATGTCTCGGGCCTCGCCCTGTGAGAGGTGCAGCAGGTGGCTGGCCCAGCCCTCCAAGTGGTCAAAGATATGGGTGCCTTCGCAAGTCTCAAGTCGCATAGCGGCGGGGTCGACCAATGCCCTCATGCTTGCTGTGAGGCACAATAAAAGATCGTAGCGCCGCGTATTTCGCATTCTGCCCGGAGGAAGCTCAGAATGCCCTCCCGGGCGTACAGGTCCAAGTCGGATGTAATCTCGTCCATCAGATATACCTTTTGCAACTGGGCTTAGGGATATACCTGACACTCTTCAAGCAAGCAGAACCAAGGCCGTCGAAACCAACTGCTCAAGAGGTCGCGCTAGCCTTCCAGCACATAAGCCTACATTCTGGAAGTAGAAACTTGAGTTAAAGAATCTGCCCTCCACCATTGCAAGGCACTGATCGAGGAGTTGCCAAGCATTCCAAAAGCTGACAGCGACGGCGCATACCTTGACAACGGTCATCGACAGATCTTGACAAGGCAACTTGCTTCCAACCAAGGCACCATCAGACACCTCGTTGATTTTCCACTCCATATCCACCTGCGATATGCTTCACATGGCAGTGCTGGGCTGCCTGCCAGACTGCTGATTGCTGCTAGTTCAGCTTGCCCAGAAACCTGCAGCACTTTGGCCAGGTGGATGCAACGCTCGGACTGGGCCATCTCCCCCAGCAAAGCTCCGACAGTCAAGTTCCTTTGATACGGCAGTGGGGTGCTTCTTGCTCAGCGAAAGCGGCTTCTTGAACCACTGTGGTTCACCAGCCATGCTGCATGAAGAATTTTGTTCGCCACCAGTCACCACCTGACGGACGAGACATTCAAACGCGTACGATCCAGGAAACTGAACTTGCATCTGATGCATCTGGACCAAAGCAGCCGAGCAACAGTACATGATGTGCTGCGAGACGCCTCCATCATGGAAACAGTCCTTCTTCATAACAGACGCATGGCCGCGTGGGATCATCCTCTTGCCGCCTTGGCGGAAAGTTTAGGCCAACCACACGGAGACTCACCCCAAACGCTTGTTGAGTTTTCCACATGCCGACAAAGCTTCCCAGGATCGACAGCAAGGTGGACTTGCCGGCACCATTTGCTCCAACCACAAGGATGCGTGCACCACGACCAAAGTGGAAGGACACATTCTTCAGCTGAGGGCTACCACCTGCCTGAAGTACGTGTGCCAATGCATCTACAAAGACTTACCAACTTCTTTCAATCCAGGCGCATATGAGTAGGTCAGATTCTTCGTTTCCAAGACCGGACCATCAACTTCCTCTACTTCAGGTCCGGTTGTTGAGCAGTCCTTCCACAACGTGGTAAAAGAAGCATATAGGCTGTTCTGAACGCCTTCCCCTGCATTTTCGATGTCCTGTTGGCTCCCACCATAGCTGCGGGATATCCAGTCCTTCCTGACTATGCCCGGTGCTGGAGTGCTTGACCCATCAAAACATCGTGAGATGCTTTGTGGTCGGGCTGACGTGCTCGCCAAGCTTCATGAGGGCATACAGTGGGCATCGGGTACCCTGAGCAACCAGGGTATGGTATTCTGCCAACTCCTTGGCTCTTACGGCACACACATGTGCGCTCAATGAACGATAGCCATTCTTTGGACATCTTCGTGCAGCTGCTCCCAGCTTGTGCCAAGCTTCGGAAAGTGGGCAGCAGCACTCGATCTTGCCCTGACAAAAATACAGGACATGAGTTGCCCAGTCGGCCAGGTGGTCAAATATGTGAGTCGCGTAGAAGATGGTCCTCGTTACGGTCAGTTGAACAAAAAACTGCGCTGGCTTGACCCTGCGATGAGCAAAAGGGGTAAAGTCAGAGGCTTGTTTGCAATGCACATCAAGCCACAATGCATACATACGACAGGCCATGGCACGCTCCCTTCTCCTCGGATTCCCTGCGCAAGAATCGCAGCAAGCCTTCCCGTGCAAAAAGATCCAAGTCCTCGCAGGTGTTGTAGATTGATTTTCGTGCTGTGCAGGGTGGGGCAACGGTCCGTGGTGATCTCATCCAAGATGTAGACCTTGTTCGTTGATTTGATGACTCTCACATCCCACATGCAACTATGCAGCTGCATAATGGTCAACCACACCTTCTTCTCTTCTGCCAGACATTCTAGCAGCTGGCACCTATCCGGTCAGTCAGAGTGATCGCTAACCCATGAATACCTGTCGCAGCAAATGACATGGCTTTCACGTAGAAGCATAAAAAGACCAGATGTCGCCTGCGTCTCTGACCATCGCTGATGGCATTGATGTACCATGTGGTGTTGATCTGCCTTTCGGGCAATCAACACTCCAACATCTAAACCTCAAACTCAGACGTCCCATCATTGAATAAAGATCATCAGAAAATAGTGTACTTCTGCAGCACACAGGCGCATTATGTCAATCAACTCTTGCACGCGTGGTGTGTTCAGAAGCTTGTCACCAATCAGCTCTGCAACTGTAATATTGAAGAAAAAGTCTGTTCGCCACCAGTCGCCACCTTCAACCCATGCAGCAACAAATTCGACTCGCAGTGCCCTGCTCACGAGCATTCATTCGGGAAGATGGTGTACTTGCTAAGCTCACAGCAGTACATCCGCTCCAGGTTCAGCGTGGAATCGTGGAAAACCGGCTTTCCCAAGATTTTGCAATCCTGAGTTGGCTGTGGCTGTGCTGCACCAGCAGCAAAACTTCTTGGTAGAACTCTAAGGCCTATAATCTGTTCAGCATTCGCCAGCATTCAGTGCTTTGCATGCCACAATGCACTCAACAATGCTTCTGAAAGTCCCTCACGGCATTCATGGAAACAACGAGAAGGGAAACAAAAACAAAACATGTCCCTTCAGCGTGGACTGTGCCTGTGCTCAGGAAGCCGGGTACTGCTTCCTGCTTCAGGGCGAGTAGTTTCTCTGAGCCCGTGGCACTTCGAGGGATCATTTTCTTTCCACCCATGATTGAAAGAAGCGTAGACTTCCCGGCGCCGTTGCCTCCACAAGATGCAAAAAGGCCCGAGACGGGCGCATCGCGGCAAGTCATCGCCCATTGGCAGCGCACGCCATGGGCTACGCATTCAGTCGGCGAAAAAAGGGCCTCCCACGACAAGCACTCGGCAGCCTTCCTCAAAGGCACAGCTGACATCAATGAGCTTCCTCGGCCAAACAAAAGGCATAGCAAAACTACTGCCCAGAATGAAGGAGCGACACATGTCCAGGGAGCCCAGGCTGTTGCATCACAGCTTAGGCGACATCCAAAAAGACTTCGGTTCTGGTGTGTGTAGCTGCAGCTAGCGATGGCACGGCTGAATTCGCCACCAGAGCTGACAAAGCTCGGCTCACTGAGAGCTCTGTCATGGATGGTTGCCCCTCCACCATAGCCTGACATTCTGACTATTGAGACGTGCATGACGGCAGAAACTCTGCTAGTGTTCTGAGTACTAGAAAGCCAAAGCATGTGAGCATAACGAGTGCTCCACTGCTCCACCAAGGGACAATAGGACAGCTTGTCGCACTGCAAAGCCGTCTTGGCCTGCTGATGAGTGCTGATGAGCAATGCCAGACATTGCAAGCAACCATGCCTTGGAGTCGACCATTGCGACGTCTGAGGCAGGATATCCCTTGAAGGAGCCCATGAGACCTGAGCTTCAAGCTTCAACAAGATTTCACTCGATTACGCTCGATGGTCCACATGAAGCCAGGCGGCGCAGCTCAATCTCTTGAGCTGGAAGAAAAGTCGGACGCAAGCTGGTTGAGCCGAGCCACCACCAGATCAACTACGTTGGCAGAGGCAGCACTGAGCAAAGTGAAAGAAAAAGGGACATGGTCTTGTTTTCTGAAGCCCGTCTCCGCTGACTCCGGCCTGTAACTACTGCTGCAAGCTTCAGTCCGTCGCTGCTCACATTGCATGGAGAACTCAACAGGTCCTTAGTCCTTACTTCTTAACGTAAGCGCTTCCGTCTTCAAGCAGGATGACAACACAGTGTATTTCAACTCCCACATCTTGGGTCGACGAGGTAATGCTGCTCGAGTCTCTGCGGCAGCGCCGCGCTCAAAGGCCCACGCCCGCCAGCGTTGCCTGAAAAACCGTCTGCTGTTACCTTCTAAGCCTTCTACTGCCCGCCGCCAGCCGTGAAGACTTCATGAAAATCATGAAATGACTCTGCAAAAGTCAACAGCGCCCGGCGACCTTCACGAAGTCGTCTTTCCTCTTCACGATATCAGACTCAGCAGCCGAAATCTTGGACTCCATCTCTGTGCTGAGCTTCACCTTCGGCTCGCCACCCAAGTGTAAGTAGCTCGACGTACAAAGACTTGTTGTGACCCCGACCCTGACGTCTGCGGCTTTCTTTTCGCGTGCTTCTGCTGCCGCTTTCATCCTGAGCGCCAAGGCCCAGTGGCACAGTTCGGACATAAACGTTCGTCAGCCGCAGCACATCGCGACATCAATCGTTTCGTCTCTAGCTGAGCCGTGTCTCTGGGACTCAATTGCCGCCTCGGTCTTTTCCCGTGCGTCCGCCAACTCCTGCGCCGTTTTGCACAACCCAACTCGGCTCAGCAGCATCGCAGTACTGATCCCACTCAATGCTCAGAATTGGTCCTTTGCAGCTTTCTCACGGGCCTCCTTGATTTCAGCAGTGTACTGCACCTGAACATCTTAGTCTTCAGGCTTGGGGCAGCCATGTTATCAGCGTGGCATAAAGCATGAGATCCACAAGCTGCTCGATGCAGGTCAGGTGCGGCAGAACGCGGAAGTTGAACGAATGATCACTGTGCAGGAAACCGAGTAGAATGATACGGTAGAATCAGTAGGGGCTTTGGAAAGTAAACGATCCGCCTGCATCTCGTCAGCCTCCGCCAGCATGTCCGTGGCCTCCGAGAGGGTCTGCAGCAGCTTTGCATTGCGCTCCTCCACCTGCAGAACTCTCGTCACATCTCTTCCCATATCTCTCTCACAGCTCTCTCACATCTCTCTCACATCTCTCTCTCTCTCTCTCTCTCTCATCTCTTGTGGCCCTTCCCAGCACCGAAAACACTACTACAGAGCGCACTCTGAAACTCCTAAATCCAAGCACGCAGCTCATGCCCTTCGTGCGCTTTGGTACATGGAACTGGTTGGAACTAAATTACAGCAATAGTACGTGCCTGCTACATGGGCCTAGGGTCTCAGAGGCTAGCAGCATATCACACGAACAAGATTTGGCAATACTTTGAAGCCCACCTCTTCGGACACCGGAGCATAGAAAAGAGCGTTCAGCACCTCAGCTTCTCAATCTTTTGTAGCTGCCAGTCCTCTCCCTCACGCCGGAGTCCTAAGGACGCCGCCGCCATCAGCAGGAGAAAGGAGCCCGCCACGAACGGCAGAGTCAGGCCAAAGTCGAACATGCCTGCGCACTTTAGCATTTTAAGTAACCTTTTTTGCCTGAAAAGTGCGCAAGCTCCTTGGTTCTGAAACCGGCTTACCAAACACAGCACTGCAGAGGGTGGGCACTGCAGAGGAGACAAGGGAAACGAAACAGCGCAAAAGCGAGGATGATGATGCTAGATGAGCTGACGGTGAGCGCATCTCTTAGATCCCTTGAAAAAGCCCAGCAGGGAGCCAAACGCAAAGGCATCAAAGGGTGCCTCCTGCATAAGCAGGCATCGGGGCAGCGGCGAGCAGGGCAGCACTGCCGGCCACCACAGCCTGTGAAGGAGCCTGGGCTCTAAAGATCTCCAGACTCGGCGCTGCTACTTCACAGGCCCCTTCTTTTTCACTTCTGCGCTCAATTGGGCCTGGTTGATGATGGAACCGCGTGGGGCGACAAAGCCAAAGTCCATGCTCCACAGGAAGGCCAACCTGGAGAGCTCCGGAAATTTCCGGAATCTCGGGATCTCTCCAACTGCGCATCGTAGGCAGCGTAAGGCGTAAGGCTCTGCTTGCCGAAGTAGCAGGCCAGCTGCCAAGGCGGCCGATGCCAAGATGCTGCTTCGGGATCTGGCCTCGGCTTGCATCCGAGAAACCGAAAAGGTTTGTTGACGTTTTGGCTTTCGACTCGGACGCAGCTTCATGCACACCGTCTCTGAGGCAGGAGCCATGTTCAAGCCGCGATGGAAAAAACCCTTTGTGCCTACTCTGAGCAGCAAAGGCTACTTTTCCGGCAAAAAGTGCAGTGCAGAGGCAACCAGCAGGCAGCTCAGGCAGCTCTGCGGCTCTACAGCTGCCACGTGTTGATCAGAGTCCAACATAGTCCAACATTCGTGCCATTCGTATCAAGTGAGACCACGCCTAAGTGCAAGGAAAGATGTGCAAAGAACGGTGCAAAGAAGGGTTTGGGACGCACAGGTGCGGCGCACCCAACCGCGCGCAAAACCTGCCAACACCAAGCGTGGCACGACCCCACACAATGCAAGTCGCAGGTATTGAAAGCGCAGGCGCTCAAGGTATTCACTGTAGGGCGAGGACGCATCTGAAAAATGATGACAGTTCTTCGTCAGAACCTTGGCAAAAGATGAAGGCGCGTTCAACAAAAGGATGCACACAAAACACCCCATCACCCCAAGTCCACGCACACTACGTGTCGGAAACGATGGACATTCGGACAACATGCATCGCAAAAGGCTTCAAAACTTCAGCACAAGAAAGTGTGGATGGGATTGCAGATGCCTTCATACAACTCGGAGGCACACATGGTAGTCGCAGCCCTTCCACTCTCGTTCCATTTCCTGAGTTTCTCCGAGAATCTTCCCATGCTACTAAGAACTTCTGTTGCATTTCGACATGCCCCCTGCGGTCTGAACTAGCTGGGCGTTGCGCTTCCAATATTCTCCGAACTTCTGTTGGCGAGAAGCGAGTGTAACCTGAGTACACACTCGTCCTGACGGTTGTTCGTAGTATCAAGCGCCTGCCAATCCCTCCCATCGTCGCTTAAACTTAAGATGACCACCCATTGACAGCGTCTCTCGGAAGGCATGGTCCAAGTTCTTGCCAGGCTCGTTGCAAGTGATCCCAGGCCTTCCATGAAAGCTTGCAAGACTTGCACACACAAGACTCGATCTATCATGGTCTATCCGCCACGTCCTAAGCAGTCGGCGCGTACTTGTCAATGCACATGCCGAAGCTCCATTCCTTGCCATACACCTGCACGACATCCAAAGTTGAGTTCATTGTGTGTTGAATTCATGCTCAGCTCACATCTAGGGGCAAGTCTTCATGCGATGCCGTGTGACCTGCATCTGCTTCTATGTACAAGCCGCAGGCTCTCGCTAGAGAGCCTTGTGCGTGAGTGGCGGCTCTTGGCCGAAGCAGCTCTACAGCTGCATCGGCTTCACCCATCTCTGCGAGAACCATGCCAGTAGCTACCAAGCCAACCTCTGCTAGATCGTGAAGGTTTCCAAAGCGCACCCAAGCTTGCAGACTCTTGGCAAAGCCTCCAGCGTCTCCCGCCAATCCATACGTCGCCAGTACAGGGCCAATTGCTGCACTTGCAAGGGTTGCATGGTCGCCGATGGCTACAGGCGCCGCAAACAACTCATCAACAAATGTCCAACAAAGGTCCAATCTTCCCGAATGAGCGAGCGACCAGGTTAGCATGCCCACTTCGGTGACACCAAAGGTGGAAGCAATGCTGCAACACGATTTGACTGTCTCGTCCATTGGGGGCGTCCTGCCCGTCCCAAATGATGACAGAAATCATGCCATGGATGCAAGACTCTGTGCTTGCCACTCTGCTCGGGAATGGGCGAGCAGCCATTCTGCATGCGCAGATGTCCTTCCGATGATGACATCATGGTCAGCAACAGGAACTGTAGAAGCCCGAGACAAGCCTGCAACGCCTCGCGCATCCATTCTGCTAACAGCTACGCATCCTGCCTCGCATGATGCAGCGAGCAATAGCTTGTGCGGCACATCAGGCACGGCAAGTGCCCAAGCAATGGAGGCTGGTTCTTGAGGTGCAAAGTTCATGTTCAAGCGCACCGTCGCATTGATCAAGACTTCTGCGACTCCGAAGCGAAGGTGTCGCAGCGTGCCAGCCGTCCATCCGATGTTGGCTGTCTCTACTGGCCCGGATGTGTGGGCTCCGTTCACGCCCGTTGCACCTAACGCATCTGCAAGCGGCCTGCCGCTGCAAAGAGTCGTTGCGAGGCACCAGAAGATGCTTGCCAGGCTTTGGCCCTCCAATGGTTGCTAAATCGCAGCAGCTTCCAGAACATGAAGCAACGAGTCCTCTGCAAAGGCTGCAGTTGCTGACCTTCAAAGCGTGTTGGATGTCTCTTGAGGTCCAAGCACGTCCAACTTCCTTGTGGCAGACTGCAACAGGGTCTCGGTAGGTGACACAGGCCGAGGTTCTAACCTTCCGAAGCACCACAGTATGCTGGACAGCTCGAGGGCATTGAGCCCAGTGGCTCGCAGAAAGGTTGCCTCGGAATCAAGGTGGCAGACGTGCGACTGTGCGACGGCAGCTTTCCGGGTCGCACTCGCAAGGTGCCGCGGCTCCATCTGCATGGGCTTCTCATTCCTCCGCTTCTACCCCAGCGCCTCAAGCGCCGGTCTCTGTGACTGAAACCTTGAAGTGGTACATCTCCACAGTGTGTTAGCCAAAGCCTGAGAGTTGAAGGTGCCTACAACCTGCAAGGTCGTCCTCGCAACCAGCACCTCGTCCGTGTGAAGAGGAGTGGTGAATGGCCGCAGCATGCCTGCAATTTCTCGGGCCCGAAGCCTCTCACGGCTCTCACGGCTCATGCGGCAAGATGCCTCGGACACAGTGGCTGCTGCCGGTCAACCTTCGGCACGGCTCAGAGCTGTCAACCACCGAACTGTGTTGGCCAAGTGTTGACGCTCAGATTCCAGAAGGCTGCCAAGGACCTGGACCGCCGGTGAAGACGTGAAGAAGGTGCGCCGAAATTCTGCAGTTCTGGAGCCCCAAACTCTGTTCGAGGGTTCTTGTGGCTGCAGTGATCTCTGAAGTTGGCAGCCTCTGCATGCCAGAGCCTCCAGCACAATCTGCTCCAAGCAAGCTGCACGGCCAAGTGGCCGCCCAGCGTTCGATGCATCCTGAGGACAGAACTCCGCGACCTTGCGAACACCTTGAGACCCAGTCGCTTCAAAGAGCAGACGGTGAAAGGACTCTGCCTTGGCAGGGGCCCGTGAAAGCATGGCCAGGTCCCGTGGACTCCGTCTCGACCATTCAGCCGTTTCGGCCGCTTCGGCTGCAGCATTGGGCACCGGCACGTCGAGTTGAGCGTGACGAGCTGGTGGTCAAGCCGTGGTTCTGAGCTGCTGCGGGCTCCTCGGCAGCTGTCGAGGAACCCTTAAACACTTATATCATGCACATGTAGCACCATTCAATATCCTAAATTCCTTTTTCACCAACTCCGAGCACCATCCTTGCACAGAAGCTAAAATTTGACAATCACCTCTTGCACCCAGCATCATGTCTGGCATTTGCACCATCATGGCTTCTTGAGCGGCTGCTACGGCTGGCATGGTCCGATGTGCAGAGGGTGCTGCAGAGGCGGGCCGCCACTGGCAGCCATATCAGCCACCCTCTGACAAAGCAGAAGCCAGTCGTAACCAAACTCTCACATGGCCTCCGTGCACATAGCCTACCTACATGGCTCCGGGATTGAACAGTAGCTGCTGCTGTGGAAGCCTCCGTCCGCACCGCCATGCATAATTTTCGCACACACACACACACACTTTGGCTTGGCATGAACTGATGCAGTGATCACGGTACCAACATGTACCAACCACCACCCACAACACACTCAAGAGGAGTCAAGAAGAAGGGAAGAATGAAAAGGAGCATGGTTGCCTGCCTCGGGACTTCAGGGTACATGATGTCACAAGCAGTGTGGTATCCCACTCTACACGCAGGTACGTCCAGGTGATCAGCCTGGATATCCTCCCAACTCATAAGCAGCTTCATTGGCAGTGAGCTTATGAGCGGGTCACTGCCCCCTGCAAATGGAAATGTCAATCACAGCGATCACCATGTTCAGGCGTTTACACACACACACGCCCCGAAGGGCGAAAAGGACGCGAAGAAGCAAGCAGGTGTCAGCAAGCCAGTCATGAACAGCAACAAGAGATCAATGACATGTCAGTTTAAGGATTCCGGATACCTTGAGCGCGTGCCTACCTGGTCCTCCTACCTGCACATGCACAGACGATCTACCTGCACTCCTAGGGAAAGCACATGTTCAGCAAGCTGTCTCTACTGATCAACCCTTGACCGCGGCCCTTGACCGTGCAGTGACCGATGATCCCGATGAAGCCCACTGTGGGCACATGTCATCCTACTGCAGATGATCCCGATGGATGAGAACAAGCGTCTGCAACGTTATGATTCACTCATCCGCTATCGCGGGCTCGGGCACATGCCCCTGAGATCTGGCCCCATGTCGGGAAAAACCAGAACTGGTACACACTTTGGCTTGGCATGAACTGATGCAGTGATCACGGTACCAACATGTACCAACCACCACCCACAACACACTCAAGAGGAGTCAAGAAGAAGGGAAGAATGAAAAGGAGCATGGTTGCCTGCCTCGGGACTTCAGGGTACATGATGTCACAAGCAGTGTGGTATCCCACTCTACACGCAGGTACGTCCAGGTGATCAGCCTGGATATCCTCCCAACTCATAAGCAGCTTCATTGGCAGTGAGCTTATGAGCGGGTCACTGCCCCCTGCAAATGGAAATGTCAATCACAGCGATCACCATGTTCAGGCGTTTACACACACACACACACACATTTTCCTCGGAAGCCTCGACGCCGGTGTGAAAGGCCCCATAGTTCTTTGTCAGCTGGTTGTGGAATCCTAGCAAGGAAAACAAGGGGGACTGGGAATCTCAGGAAGACTGTGGAATTCGCCAATGCAATCTAGCCAAGCATCTGGTCCAAACAGTCCTCAGCAGCAGCTAGTGCGAGACAAGCAAAGCCATCTGGCAGCAAAAAGACTGCTCTGCTCAAGCAATCTCCTCTGCATCCGACATGTCGAATTCAACAAGTCAAGGCTGCGGCTGCCCAAGATCATAGACGCGAACCTGAGCAAGACAGATTCTGCGAGGCGACCCTCGAGAGGCCACATCTACTGAGGCATCAGCCAAGACCCGCTCTCTGTACACTCTTTGCACTCCCGACACTGACCTGAAAAATCGGCATAAACGCTGTCTACCATCTGCTGCGCGAGCAAAATGAGCAAAAACCGTCATGAATGCTGGCCAGCCTGAGAGGCCTGGGCGACACAGCCTAGTCAAAGTACACTCCAAGCCAACTCTGCAAGTGGGGTAGCCAATACTCGCCTCCGTCAGGAACGGGTCCTCAGATCCGCCTTCAAAGCTCTGCGAA